ATCCGCCAGTTGTGAGAGATGCTTGAAGGCCAACACAGAGTCAAGGACTCTATAACGCACATGACAGAGAATTTTGTAGATTGTCGGGGCAAGCCATCAATGACATCCCTCCAGCAGGAGAAAGGGGAGGAGGATGGAGATGATGATTAGTTTATTTATATGTTTTCTTTTATTTGTAAGAACATTTATTCTAAAATTTTTTGTTAACTTTACTATTTTTATTTGGGACCATTTGTGATAATATTTTTTTATTAAAGATATTGTTTAGGGAATTGATATGTGATAAGACTAAATATAATATTGTATGTGATGCAAAATATATTTTTTTTGTGCAGGTTATGAAAATGTAATTGATCATTTAGAAATTTTTTTTTTTGTTGCGGGGTTTTTGTCAGATTTGCATATGTTTTCCTATACAAAATCCGACACAAAATCGGCAATAATATTCCATCGTCAATCGATATTTTCTGTCGCAAACTCGACGGTAACCCGACACTATTATTTATTGTTCAATATTTTCGGACACAAAGTTCAACACACCTTTCGAATAAACAAATTTGACGCTAATACAACGTAAAAACCGATAAATTATTTTCATCTTAATATTTCGACGAAAATAATATTTGATTCTATTAAATAATTATAATCAAATGCCTTCTTAAATAATTATAATGAAATGACATTCATTTGTTAATATTTTGATTCTATTAAATAATTATAATCATTATATATATATATTAATTATAATGAAATGACATTCATTTGTTAATATTTTGATTCTATTAAATAATTATAATCATTATATATATATATATATATATAGTAACACCACAGTATTAAAAACTTTTGCCTATGAATATGTATTTGATTCTTAAGAAGTTAATAATAGTGAAGGTTTTGATGTGATGCAAAAAATTTATGTGGGATGGATGTAAATATGAAAGTTTAGGAGATAGATATGTAAATATATAAAATTCGTTTGGTATATGGGTAAGCATATAAATGTCCGTTAAAGCCGCTTCTACTTTTCGTGATATGAAATATCAATATTGATGATATAATATAAACATATTATTGTCAATAAAGATTTTGCATGATATATCAATCATTAGTCAAATATATCAACTCATAATCCCAAATAATAGACATTAGACCCTTTTTTATAGGACCATTTATAGGACCATACATAAAGTATTTCCTTCCCTACAATTTTTAGGTTTGGTGAGATTCCATTATTATTGATGTAAAGATTAATAATAATAGATAGGACTTTCTATGCCTTCATATTGACTACTTTTCACATGTGAGTATTTTATATAGCCATGCAACCTTGTCATGTCAACATTTTATCACCCTAGGCCCATGAATTAAATGATATTTATTAAAAAAATATTTATTAATTTATTTTTATTTTTTTTCCTTTTAAAAAGTTAAATTTAAATTAGTATTATTAATTATTTTTTATTCAATCTTAATTTATGATAACATTCGAATAAATTTCATATCACATGGTTTTCTAATATTATCATTTTTGTATTTTCTTTTAATACATCTAAATTATTAGGTAATGCAATTAAATTTGAGAAGAAGTACAACTAAATTGTTAGAAATTATAAACATATTAATATTAGATATTCATAATATTTATTTATGCTATGTTATAATTTTAAATGACTAAAAATTTATTTACCTATGCTTGTCTGATAGAAGTTAATGATAAATAATTTGAAGATCTATAATATATATATATATTACCAAAACTTTAGTTTTTATATATATACTATCGTTCCTATGCATGAATTGTGCATTTTATTTTCTAAAAGTTAAAATGGTGGTATTTTTTATGTGATATGAAAGATTTTGGTGTTATAACAATAAAAAAAATACATTTTAGGTGTTATATATAGGGGAATGAAAAGATAATTGGCCATGTGCGAAATTAAGGACATATGTAATTAAAATATTGATGTATCTTGAAAGGATTTTTTTCTAAGAAAACAAATATAAAAAATATAAATAAAATTACAACAAATCATATATAAAGATTTTGGGAATTACATATTTACATTTATGACCAAAATGATGAATAAGTTTATCCCCAAAAGTTTTTGTTAAATACTTCCTTAAAATATTCCCTAAAATTTTAAAATTCTATTTTTTTTATAATTTCTTTGTTTATTAATTACATTAATGAAAAAAAATTATAATTTCTTGTATGCATGATTGAGCATGAATAAATAACAATATAAATATGGGTCATTTACATGCCTATTGCACATTATTTATTTATTTATATATCTAATTCCTAAGCATTTATATTTGCATGCATACCACTCTAATCTTTAACATCACAACAAAAATATCAAATTCACTATTTTTTATAGGTGAAATACATACATTAATGCATAGATTTAAGCTATCAATGTATTATAAGAAAATATCAAATTATGGGTGATGGAAATGTAGATACATGAGAATTGTGTAATATGTAATAAATATGTATTTTACATGTATACTTCATATTTTAAAAACAAATCATATTTTGATTGGGGTCAATAATAAATTAGTAATTACACTGAATTTTATTTTAAAGATTGCACAATAATAAATGGAAGGTTTTATTATTAATCTACACTATTAATACAATTATCATTATTTCACATAAAAAATTAAAATGCACAATTCATAAATACCACTAAAATTTTATGTATATGCAAAATATTGCAAGTTATTTAATTTGCAATATTTACATAAATACCCCTAAATTTTTATGCATGTGCATTTCTAAAACACTTAAAATTTAATTTTTACATATATATACCACATTACCTATCTATGAAAAGGTGTATTTCAATTGTTAAAAGTAAAAATAAGAGGTTTGAGCTATATAAATGAAAAAAATAAATTTTAGGTATAACATATATAAATACATAAAAGTTGAGTGGTATGTATATAAATGTTACCATTTAATTTATAATTTAATTATTAAATCATGTTTAAATACCTATTTTTTTATATGTTAACATTCATTTCAATGGCCTCCTCAAACTAAACCCATACACACAAAGGAGAGCTCAAATTCGATATGACTCGTTAAATCCATGAAACATCCAACCACCGACCGGGGCCACCGCACGGGAAGGCCTTTCCATTTTGTGGGGCCCCACCAACACGTCGCCTTGGCTGCTTCAATGTGGGACAGCCATCCGATCATCGTCGGGCTGTCACGATGCGATGTTTTGTGGACCCCAGCTGCTTCCCGCTTACCAATATTCTGATTATAATCGTCCAACTAAATCTCTACCGCCCGATCTCTTCCATTTATAAACTTGATTTACTAAAATGTTTTTCGGAAAATAGAATTAAAAAAAAAAAATCCTCCGTCAGTTGCGCGATACCGCCGTTTGCTTGCTGCGATTTTGTTAACGGCGTCGTAAGTTACAGTCTCGGTCTCTGGTTACTGATGTGTAAATGGCTTGGCATTCAGGTGTATACTAATTAAAGAGCAGAAGGGGAATTGTACATGACTGATTCAGCGGTGGCGTTAAATAAATTTCAGCGGTTTTTTACAGTGGAAGCACGTGAACTTTTACTATTTGTTTATTCATGCCTAAATTTCTATTTTTACATTTATGCCACCTTCACATGAAACAATATTTTATTTTTTAGATATTAAAAGTAGGGGTGTTAGTGAGCCAAGCCGACTGTTGAGCTGGCCCGAACTCACCTCGATGAGTGACTTTTAAGCTGAGCTCGATAAGCTTATAAATCAAGCATAAGTCAGGCTGACAGTGTCATTCGAAAGTGGGCTAATTCGTTTAAAAAATACTAATATAGAGTATAATCAAAATTGAATTTCATAACTTTATTTTTAAATTATTAAAAATATTTTAAAAAAGAAATTTTTATATTTTATATCAAGTGATTTTATCTCAAAATTATTTATTAAAAAACATACTTACCATATAATTCTTATGTAATTATTTATATAATATCTAAACTTTCATATTTAAGTATTGTTAAACTTAAATTTATTCGTGAATCTCATCCTAGATATATAACATAAATAAGAAGATAAAGAGAGAAAGAAGAGAACCTCACGAGTATAATATTAGTGATCCACGATTTAAATATTAATTAATGTTCATATATTCATAGTAAATAAAAGTCAAAATGTGAAATTTAAATAATGCGTTCGATCGGTCGTGGTAACTATCAAGGCTATCGTTATTGTAGCCGAACTTTTATTTTTGGACATCCATGTCTCTCACTTGCTCGTTGGCAAGTTGTTCGTCAACTTATTCGGTTGATCCTCTCGATTTTGTCAGCTTGAACATTCACTTCGTACTTAGTTGGCTCTTTGTGCACATTAGGATTATCTGTTGTATGCCGACTGCTGCTCTTTATGCTCATCGGTCTTGATTCCTTGACATGTCCCGTCCAAAGCGACTATATCAAGTTCTAATGCATTTTGATTGTAGACATACACAACACTCAAATATTAAACATCACCTTAAAAAATTATTTTTATTAATTTTTAAAAAATAAAATAAAACTTTTACGCACAAATTTATCTGTCCAAATGACCAAAATAATATGAATATAAATACATAAAAATTTTATGGCATGCGTGTAGTTTATTAGTTTAATAATTTAATAGTTAACTGAGAATCAGTGTATAAATTTTTTGAATATATTTATTAACTTTAGTTTTATTTACACGATATTACTTGTTAGTCCCCATGCGGTGGTGCGCTTCGAAGAGCGTACTATCCTATTACACCCTTCGCTTTAATTTAAATTACAAATAAGTCCCTGTCAGGAGCATTTTTTTCTTTTTATTTATATATTTATCTTGTCGTCGTTTTCTTTCACAGAATAAAAAATCATGCATGGTTTCTTTCACATAGGTTCCTTAAAATAAAATAAATGATATCTTGCTCAAATTTGCAACCAAAAAAATCGTTAATCCTTACAGATATACCCATGGCCGTGCATCTTCAAATACGCAGGCTTTCTCGGCGATAAGGGTTTAGCACGAAGATGGAGAGGAAGCAAGGGTTCTTATCGGCTCTCAGGGAGCTATCGCCGGCAAGATCGAGGTCACACAGTCAGGCGGTTGGTGGTTTGATGTTACCTCGCAGGAAGAACTGGCCGGAGCTACCGCCAGGGGTGAGATCCGGCGGTGAAGCTTTGTCGCCGCTCATGGAGGGGCCGGATTCCGGAGAGGGAGATGGTGGGGGTGGCGGCGAGGGGAGGAAGGATGGGTGGGGGCAATGGATGCGCACGCAGCTCTCCAAGTCGCCCGCGGTGGCCGGGGGCCGCCGGCCGTCGGACCATCGGCTTCTGCTCGGAGTCATGGGAGCTCCCCTCGCCCCCGTTCATGTCTGCTCCGGCGAACCTCTTCCGCATTTAAGCATTAAGGATACGCCTATTGTGAGTACCGGCCTTGAGTATTCTAGTTTTCATGAGAGAATTTAATGGAATTCCTAATTTTAGTACTTTTAATTGTTCGGTTTTTCATTAATTTTCTAAGCATTAGGGTTTGTTAGGTTGTCAATTTCCCCTTTTAGCAAGCTCCGGGGTTGGTTTTGTGGGTCTGCATTTATTAATTAAGAGGAATTTGGTGTGTATGTAATGTGAGTTTGATCAATTAATAATAGAATTATTCTGAACAATCTTGATACTGCTATTCGTCACTGTAACAAACTGATTTTATCCTCTTTGATGTTGCAGGAAAGTTCATCTGCACTTTATATACTGCAACAATATACTGCGGCATCTGGAGGAATCAAGCTTTTGAGCTCCATTTATAATTCTTGTGTTATGGGGAAGATGAAGATGGTGGCTTCTGAGTTTGAGACGTCGACCAAGGTGATGAAGAATAGAAATGCTTCAAGAGATGCAGAATCTGGGGGCTTTGTGCTTTGGCTAATGGCTCCTGAGATGTGGTATGTTGAGCTCGCTGTTGGAAGTAGTAAGATCCATGCCGGCTCTAATGGCAGGATTGTTTGGAGACACACTCCCTGGCTCGGCCCCCATGCGGCCAAGGGTCCTGTTCGTCCTCTCCGCCGTGTTCTTCAGGTTGACAATTCATCAAAAAGCTTCAATTTGTCCCTTTAAATAGCCTTTCTTTTGTTAAATTGCATAGATTTTGATATAATATTTGAATATATAAACACATTGATATCAATATAATCTTCAATTCAATAAATCATGAAAAAGCTTTGATTTTTCCCTTGAAATTTGCTTCCTTTTGGTAAGAATTACAGAGCTGTTTTATAATATTTACATGTATAGACTCATTTATATCAATATAATCTTCAATTCAATAAGAACCATGGAAATTCTACCTTTTCATTTTAACAAATTCGTGAGTTATGCTTTGGTGATTCTAAGAATTTTGGTTTAAATTGACAAATTCTATTTGCAGGGACTTGATCCATTGACCACGGCGTGCTTGTTTGCTAATGCACAATGTATTGGAGAGAAGATTGTTAAGGGAGAAGATTGCTTCATTCTTAAGCTCTGTGCTGATCCACAGACACTTAAGGCGAGGAGCGAAGGGTCTTCAGAGATTATAAGGCATGTCATGTTTGGATATTTCAGTCAGAAAACAGGGCTTCTCATACATATGGAGGATTCACATCTCACTCGAATTCAAGCTAATTCCGGCGGCGAAGCGGTGTATTGGGAGACAACAATCAGTTCATTTCTCGATGATTATCGTGCGGTCGAAGGCGTTATGATTGCTCATTCCGGTCGATCGATTGTCACTCTATTTAGGTTTGGGGAGATAGCGATGAGTCATACGAAGACAAGGATGGAAGAAGAATGGACAATCGAGGAAGTGGCTTTCAACGTTCGTGGTCTTTCAGTTGATTGCTTCATCCCGCCTTCCGATTTGAAGTGTAGTTCGGTCGGCGAAAACTGCGAGTTAACCAAGCGGGAGAGAGGGAAGAGTGCGGTGCTTGGTTTTAATCGATCAAAGGTTGCAGCTTTGGAGAAGAATCAGCAACATAACATCGCTGATATGGTTTCATGGAAGGTGGAAGCTTGATACTGTGTTGGGTAATGGAGGAGATGAATTCATTAAACTGTTCATATTCCTATTTTTCTTATATCACTAACTATTTTAACAGAAAAAAAACTATGTAAATATGGGCTTCAGTGTTTTTATGATTGGGATATCAATTTATTTTTGTTTTTGTTTTGCATGATTTTTGTTTATTTATGTTTGTAATAATGAATTGTTGATAGTTTTGGAATCTTAAGGGTGAGAGGTTGAGGTGCTGCCATCAACAAGATTAGTGGCTTTTGCTGATCTGGTTTTGAGGGTGTGGACTAAATGTCTGTGCTGCTGAAATTCTTGTAATACAAACTCATGTTTTTAATGAGATTTTAATGAATGGCTACATATATTTCTCTTTTCATTTGCATAATTTTGCTTATTGATGGATATTTATGTAATTATATTATGTATTTGATGCTGATATCTAATTTTTTTCTAGTTTATTTTATTATAGTTTTTTCTTTCTTTACAGCTTCACAGCATTGGATGCTGTGAAGAGGTTCCATGTCTCCACTCCAGATGAGATTGTGATGCATTTGATATTGTTTGATTCCTTCCATGATATATTATTTTAGAAATAGTTGCATACATGCCACTTAAATCCTATATATTTGCATATCTAACAACTAAATTTAATTTCTGTATGAATGTCACCTTACCTATGCATGAGAAACTGTATTTCAGTTTTTCAAAGTATAAAAAGTGGTATTTTTATATGTGATTCAAAAATTTGGTTGGTATAAATGTAAAAAAAAAATAGAATTTAAGTGATAGATATGTAAAAAAAAAGGAACCCCTGATGATAATTGAAGTAAATTACTGAAATTTTATTTATTAAGAGATTGTATCATATTGATAATTTAGCCTAAAATTGGAGAAAAATGTTATTTTAAAAAAAAAAATAGTAAGATTTATGTGCTCTTAAAAAATATATTGCAATATTTAGCCTAAATGTTGGCTAAATATTAGAACCAAGAAACGTTTCAGTGTGGTGTGCATGTGAAAGGAGTAATCAAAGCAGGTTTCTTTTTGTTCAAAAAAAACTTGTGTTTGTTTTTCAGTCACAATTATTGCAGATTTGCAGGATGTCTACGTCTTTATATTCCTTTTATTTTGGCTTCTGCAATTTATTGTTTTGCATAGTTTGTCTGGAATTGTCACTATAAAGTATGAGGGTGGTCCTGTATTTTTTCTTTTTTATATAGCACTAAGAAGCTTCCATATTTCATCTTTAGAAGAGGAAGGTAACTTCTGGGAGCCAAAAGCATGACAGTTTAGCCCTTTAAAGGTTGTGTGTATAATGATGATTGTTTCATTGGCATTTGCACATATGCCAGCCAATTTCTATTTATTTACATATATAATGCCTAAACTTTTGTTTCATTGAGATCCATGCTTCAATTACCATATTCATTTTCAACCTATAAACACCATAATTTAAGTCAAAATCATCATCTCGTCAATTCCTATGTATTTACATAACTATCACACAAGCATTAATTTGTTACATACATGTCATCTTGATATGTATGCTTTGTAATGATTGTATATTTGATGTGATATGTAAGGTTTGGATGGTATAAATGTAAAAAATAAAATTTACAAGGGTACTAGATGTATAAAAAGTAAAGTGCATAATTTGGGCATTAAAAGCTTTATGCCCACATCACAACATGAATGCTTGCATGTGAGCTTCCAACATTCTTTGTTCCCATTGAAGACATTCCCATGAGTTTACTTGAAAAAAAAATATATATAATTAACATTTTGTATTTTTTTTATAGCATGAATTAGACACATTGGCATTATTCTCACAATATGCTTCAAGTTTTCAATAAAATTTTAAATTTGTATTATTATTATTATTATTATTATTATTATTTTATTTTAAAAATGGGGCAATTGCATAGGTACCACCTACTTCCTATGTATTTACATATCTATTTATATTTTCATGATAGATAAGGCAATACATATTTACATACATCATAATTTTTTTATGCCTAATTTTACATGGATATATTGGAGGGAGAAAATAAGAATATCAAGATAAATATATGAAGTATAGTTAACACAATGATGTGAGAAATATTACACCAGAGAAGTATTGGGTGTAATACCTATTGAATATAAGATAATTGAAGGTAAATTTTAAATTATTTGGGTTTGCATGATTATGATTAAAATATTTGGCAACAATGTAGGCTTGTTGAATTATTGAGAGAAATATGAAGAAATGGTGGACTTAAGTCAGTAAATACTATTAAATATCACACATGTTGCGTAATGGTCTGCAAATAAGAGAGAGAGAGAGAGAGAGAGAGATGTCATTACTTCTATGTGTTAACTATTTCAAAGATATCACACAAACTATATGATTCAAAAAACACATAATGAAATGCAATGACAGTGGAGACAAAATGATAAATTGTGTGTGAAATTGAGATTTATATGCTTAAAAAAAATTCACGTGATCATGCATGAATCCAGATGAAAATTTTTGAGATAAATTTAAAAATTAAATTAAAGATAATTTGAGCATTGAATTTAGCAAGTTCATAGGCAATCACTTAAATGATTCAACGTGAGACAAGATGAACCTAAAACAAACACTTATATTGTAATTAAAATTTTAAAACATTCATTTAAAGATCAAATTATCTCCACATATGACATGCTTATAGCATCTTGATGAAAAAAAAAAAATTATGAGGCTAAAATCACTAAATTATGATGTTTTTAAAACACTTAAATGCTAAAAATATAATTTATGATCAAATGAATCAACATTGACCATACAATAGAAGGTTTATGAATTTTGACAAAAAATCATCAAAATGAAACTATAAAAGAAAAATTAAATAAAATATATTTAAAGTTTTTTGCCACTTGTACGGCAGGGTTCGTTAAACTAATAAGCCATGAAAGGGTAACTTAATTTAGTAGCACGATCATGTTAAGCCCAATGGGTTGAGAGGCTGTCTAATGGACTTCTACAAGGCCCATAAAAAATAAAAGCTTCTGCTGGAATTAAAAAGAGCAATTGATGAAGTAGCCCACTGAGAAATACTGACGGTCCGTGAAGGTTTGATGGGCCAATATAGAATTAAGCTATGTTGGAAGGCCTCTAACATAGGAAACCTCTTAATTGGCGATATCAACCAATGTTGGGCACCAATTGATGATAAATGTTAGGTTTATAGGTGTGATTGTTGGCAAAGTTGTTCTTTTTATGGAGAAAAATTAAGAAAAATTAAGTGATTATAACTCATGACATGATTGAAGTCTATTGGGTTGTCCTTTTAACCATTAAAATGGTGAGAATTGAGCAAGTGGTTCAATGAAAAAGGTTAGATAATAAAAGCTAGAGAAATCAAAGTCAAATCAACTATATCTTTAGACAACCTTACATCTCTAAAATTTTCGTATAATCCAAAAATATTTGCATGGTTTAGATATGTTGAATTTATGTAATCATGTTCTATTATAAATATGAAAAAATAATATTGTAGTATATTTTATTATAACATTTTAAATCATTATAGATAGACCATATCATGCTCTGCTCTGAACTAAAAGGTGGCCAAATAATTCCGCTCATGGGCCATCTTGATGGATGTACCTGAAGTCGATGACAATGGTTCATCAATAATTCAATGGTAGTTTGATGATAATAATGACCAATTAAGCCTCTGATACCTTAAAAATGACTTAAAAATCGAAGCCTTAAAAGAGCTGCAACTATTTTGAGCACCTATATATTGAGAACTAAATTGGGGCTGTGAAAAATAATAATGATATTTTATCATTTTTTTGTAGAGTTATTTGACTAATTGAGAGCAATAGAATGCTACACAACTTATAAATCAACAATACATATGAGCTAGCCACTTTATGCAGTGAAGACATGAATGAAGTGCATGGAATCTTAGCTGTCACACCTAGATTCAAAGCTAGCTCCATGAATAGATCACCTTGGCAGACATATGGACATTGTAGCCTAGTTGAATGAGATCCATCATGTTGACCCATCTTTATTATTCATTGTTTTGGATCGTGTGATGAGATTGTTGTTTTAACTATAAATTCTTGAAATAGAAATTCCATAAAATTCTTTGAAATATTTTTAGAATTTATATTTCTGACACCTAAAATTTTATTTTTTCATTGATAACAAAATCAATATTATATGCCTATACATGAAAATGAGTATTTAATGATATTTTTGACATGATGTTAAACATTTGAGTGTTAGTGTATAAAATTATTTGATGTGTATGTATATTTTATCATAGAATTAGACAAAAATGTTAGAATTTGTACCATATTGGTCGGGATAAAATGAATATTTTTGAGAGGTCAAAGTTAATAAATTAAGATAATAGTAGACTAATTTTTTATAATTAATAAAAAAATTATATAACACAAACTCATATATAATACGTACAAGAATTGCCCCCCTTCCCCTATAAAAATACTAATAACAAATATTAACATAAAATCAAGATTTTAATAAAATCTTAAAAGTCTATTTGAGACATGTTTGTACTTCAGATCGTCATCACAGTTCCGTTTAAGAAATCACTTTCTCATTTTTTTGTAGTGTGTGATGGAAATTTATTTGTTTCAATATGATATGTTAAAATACGACAACTATAAGAAAGTTATTGTATGATTTATTTTAAAAAATATTTATTTATAAAAAAAAATATTTCTCCATTTTAGCTTTATAATCACATTTTGAAAAGCTGAAGAAACCCTAAAGACTGTCCCACTGAATTTTATTCCATTATTCCCATTAAAAAAAAAAAAAAAGAAAACATTATTCCGGTCGCCCCCGCCTCTTGGCAGCTTAACATTTGGCGTCCCTTAAAAAAGCTTTCTTTTCGCAATTGGGCAGAGCAAAAGAGGCCCAGTAAAGCTATTATGCTAAGGACAATGGTGGGGAGACAAGCCGGTCAAATCATTCTGCAGTGCCTCTCGCCCTCTTCATCACTCCACCACTATTTCTTCCCCTCTATAGTCTCCGAAACGAGATTCTTGTGATTTCTCTCCAAAGCCTCAGGCCGCCATTACTGAGCTGGTTCTCAGCTTGAAGAAAATATGCTTTTTGGTGTTGATTATGGAGAGAAAGACGGTTCTTTGGCACCCGTTCTTTCCTCCTGATCCCTTTCCCTTTAAAGCAAGAATGAAATATCCAGTGGTTGCTCTTCCCAAATCTCCATGGAAGAAAAGTTGATATTTTTTTGAGTTTCAAGCGGAGAAAAGGGAGCTTCGACCATGGGTTCTGTTGTAACCTTCTGCTTCTCCTTCTTGATGGCAAGTTTTCTTGTACGGACCTCTATTGCGGAGCTTCCCGATGAATCCGCCATGGCTGCGCTGAAGAAGGGGCTTGAAGGTGTGGAATGGGGTTTTCAGGGTTCCGACTACTGTTCATGGCATGGGGTCACATGCAACCCTTCAAATCTTTCAGTGGAAGCGCTTGACCTTCCTCGTCATGGCCTTAAAGGTAACATTTCAAGCATTTCTGAGCTAAAATCTATCAAAAGATTGGATCTTTCTGGCAATCTTTTTCATGGTTTCATACCTCCCTCACTCGGAATCCTCTCCGAGCTCCAGCTCCTGGATTTGTCTGCAAACAAGTTTGCAGGCTTGATTCCTTCATCTATGGGCGGTCTCCGGAGCCTAAAATCATTGAACTTATCTAATAATTTACTCATTGGCGGAATACCAGATGAGTTGAAGAATCTAAAGATGTTGCAGGAGCTTCAAATATCCGGAAATAATCTCAATGGCTCCATTCCTGAGTGGATTGGGGAGCTATCTGATTTAAAAATCTTATCTTTATATGAAAATCACCTGTTTGGTAAAATTCCTGAGAATCTAGGCTCTGTTTCTCAGTTAGAACTGCTTAATCTTCACTCCAATCAGCTCGAAGGCGTTATCCCTGAGAGCATTTTCTCCTCAGGAAAGCTTCAAGTTCTTGTTCTCACCCTGAACAAATTAACAGGAACCATTCCTGAATCAGTTGGTAAATGCAGGAGTCTATCTAGTCTTAGAATTGGCAATAATAGACTGGTTGGAAGTGTTCCTTCATCAATTGGCAACATTAGTAGCCTTACTTATTTCGAAGCAGATAACAACCATCTCTCCGGCGAGCTGCCGGCGGAGTTCGCTCGGTGCTCCAACCTCACTCTATTGAACTTGGCCTCAAATGGTTTGACCGGAGTTGTGCCGACAGAGCTTGGTGATCTGAAAAACCTTCAGGAGTTCATAGTTTCAGATAACAGACTCACTGACGAAGTCCCCAAATCATTGTTGAAGTGCAGGAATCTTAACAAGCTTGATCTAAGCAACAACAGATTCAATGGCAGTTTACCAGAGAACATTTGCAGTACGTCAAGGCTACAGTTTCTTATTCTCAGTCAGAATTCTATTGCTGGAGAGATCCCTCCTGTGATCGGAAATTGCGTTAGACTCCTCGAATTACAGCTGGGTGGCAATTATTTGACCGGCGAAATCCCGCCGGAGATCGGAAGGATAAAAAACTTGCAGATAGCTCTAAATCTCAGCTTCAATCGACTTCATGGTAGTCTGCCACACGAGCTCGGAAAGCTAGATAAGCTTGTCTCATTGGATGTGTCAAACAATCAACTTTCTGGCTCCATTCCTTCTGAATTCAAAGGCATGTTGAGTCTAATTGAGGTCAACTTCTCTAATAACCAGTTAACCGGTCCGGTGCCGATCTTCACTCCGTTTCAGAAGAGTCCTCCTTCGAGCTTCGCCGGAAACAAGAATCTCTGTGGTGATCCCTTGAGCACCAGCTGCACTTCCTTCGCAGATTCTCAAATTCAGAATAATCACCACAAATCTTCATACAAAATGGCTCTTGCTGTAATCGGTTCCGGTCTGGCTGTCTTCATCACAGTCTCAGTGGTTGTCATCCTCTTCACCATTAGAGAAAGACAGGAAATGAAAGCCAAATCTGCAGACATTGCTGCTGGTGAAATTCCTGTCGCTTCTCCATTAATAATAACAGGAAACGTATTCATTGACAGCCTCAAACAAGCTGTGGATTTTGATTGTGTCGTGAAGGCGACCATGAAGGACTCAAACAAGCTCAGTAATGGAACTTTCAGCACTGCTTATAAGGCAATAATGCCTTCAGGTCTTGTTCTTTCTGTCAGAAAACTCAAATCTGTAGATAGAACAGTGTTACATCATCAAAACAAGATGATAAGGGAGTTAGAGAGGTTTGGGAATCTCATTCATCCTAATCTAATGAGACCTCTAGGTTATGTGATCTATGAGGATGTAGCTCTTCTTCTTCACCCCCACATACTTAACGGGACATTGGCATACTATCTTCACGAATCTCCCAAGGAGGAATATGAGCCGGATTGGCCTCAACGGCTCTCGATCGCCATTAGTCTCGCAGAAGGTTTGGCATTTCTCCATCATGTCGCCATTATTCATTTGGATATCTCGTCTTGCAACGTCTTTCTCGATGCGAATTGTAATGCTTTGCTCGGGGAGATTGAGATTTCAAGGCTCTTGGATCCGTTGAAAGGGACGGCGAGTATTAGTGCTGTGGCTGGCTCTTTTGGGTATATTCCTCCAGGTGAACTTCATTCCGTTTTACTCTTCGTTGTGTTAGTTCGTAAGGATGTTAAGTTGTGAAACCTAATTTTTTGTCGTGTGATAAGAACACGATGCATAGATTTAGTCGACGACCGAATTATCATGTTTTGGGAAATTCACCAAGTTTCTTTCTTTATAAAGTAGGGAAATTTATATACATAACACAATTCTTATGAATTTACATATTTAATATCGAAAGTTTGATATTTACATTTATTACATCTTGATGTTATAAACATATACATAAAAAAAGATGCTTTTAACATTTAGAAGTTAATAAATGTGATATTTTTTAGATGTGATGTTAAAGATTTAAATGTTGGACACATTGAATTTATATCACATCAAAAGAATTAGGATTGTAATTCTCTACAATCAAACTATACTAAAGTATCAGAGTTATAAAATGCCAAATTAGTCTCCCAACTTCTTAAATATGAGCTAAAATTGTTCCTAGGGAAGTCTATTTTAGCCCCCCAAGAAAAGAGTCTGAGGACTAAATTGATACTTTTATAAATTCTTGGATTAAAATGGACTCCTAAAAGAGCGAGGAGACCATTTCTTCGATACTTTCCTTGCAAATCATAAGCAGTCCTCTTTGCAAATCAATTACATAGTTTCTTAAGTGATGTTTTTCTTCTTATTTTCTGAATCTGAATTATCATTCTAACATTTATTTTGACAAAATTCTAAATATTTGTTACATTTCCTTCAGAATATGCTTATACAATGCAAGTTACAGCTCCCGGTAACGTCTACAGCTTCGGCGTTGTTCTTCTTGAAATCTTAACGACTCGGCTACCCGTCGATGAGGTATTCGGCGAAGGTGTGGATCTCGTGAAATGGGTTCATGGCGCATCGGGGAGAGGCGAAACTCCGGAGCAGATAATGGATGCGAGGCTGAGCACCGTCTCCTTCACGTGGAGGAAGCAAATGCTTGCGGCGCTGAAGGTCGCCATGCTGTGCACCGACACGTTTCCGTCGAAGCGGCCAAAGATGAAGAAGGTGGTGGAGATGCTTATGGGGGTGAAGCAAAGTTAGAGTTTTTGATTTTATTAGATTTTTCATTCAACTTTTCAATCGGAGTGAGTGGGTTTCAAGGTGAGTTCTTGTGGTTCAAAATCTTTACTTCTATATAAATTGTGATGTAATTTTGCTGTGATGTGAGAGCTCATTTAGGTGTTTGGCTTGTTGTATGATAAGCTACTTTTCTACAAGTCAAGCATGCAATTTTCAATTTCAATTTCAATTTCATTATTATTTTTTTTTGTTGATGTTGAGTTCTCAAATGACATATTTGAATTTTTTCTTAGTTTTTAGGTATTGAAGTCTTTTAAGACTGTTATTTTTCTTAGTTTCTCAGTTTTTTTGTTGATGTTAAGACTGTTATTATTCTTTTTAGAATGTTAATGTAGTAAGAAAGTGATTTTTAAGACTAGATTTTTCAGAGTGTGATAGCTGTTATTCCAATTAAAATTTTTAGTTCTCAAAGTAGCTTTCAAAAAAGCTATTTTTCTTATGATAGTCTGATTATTGTGCTGATTTCTTCTTTGCATTTTATGTATTCTATATGAGGAGAATTTTGGAGCTTTCACAAATTGTACTTCATCACATAATCTTTCTTGACATAAATGCCACATAACTCTTATATATTTACTTATCTGGCATCTGAACATTCATATTTTCATCATGTCACTTGAGTGCTTAATATCATATAAAAATATCACCATCACTATGTTCTTGAGAAGTAAAAAACATTTTTTCATGCATGGGATTATCACATCAATTTGTTAAAAGTGTAAAACATCACCTTCTGTTACTTAGATATGTAAATGCATTAGAATTGTGTGGTATTATGTAAATTTCCCTAAAATTTAATTTATGTGACATAATTGTACTAAAATAAACGAAGTAAGGTATGGAGCATGGTGGAAGTAAATAAAAGTGTGAGAAATGATGATGGGAGGCCTTAGTTGGATTCAGACTTGATGCTTCTTCAAATTTGAACATATGATAAAAGATAGAAAGTTGAAGCAATGTAACATGTTATGGCCCCCATTATGGACCGATATGTCCTATATTTTGATGTGAGTGAGACCCACATATAAGAGGAAGGTGAAAATATTTATTGGATTGAAAGGAAAATTTATGAAAACTTATTATTTTTATTGCGAGCAAGAAAATTTATAGCAGTAGAGTAAGAACTCCGTCCTCACATTGCAAAAAATTTGGACATATCCGATAAAAGGTGCGAAATAGACATAAGAGTTTTTAAGTGCGAAGTGTTCGAAGAACAATGAGGGATTATGGGCATCTTTGTTGATGGAAGGACGATTGAAGATGACTGTTAGTATCAGTTTATGGAGATGGAGCAATTATGAATGTGGCATTGGTTGTCTGAGGAGAATCTTAAGTATGCATCAAAAGGTAGCAAATAGATCGGAGGACAGGGAGATCATGAATGTTCATTTACGATAAAGGCTTTCAACTTGTGTTAATTTAATAGCAATGTAGTTATAACTTGAATAAAGATGAAAATGGCTATAATTTTAGTAAAGGAAATGTAAATTTATGTAGGAAGATTTAATGTATTTATATATTTGATATATAAACTTCAATTTTTAACATAGCAGGAGATAAAAAAGTATAGCTAAGGGGGACTCACCAGTGGAAGAGCAAAGGAACCACTCATTTAAGAGAAGCAGCACCCGACTTCAGCGGCCGCCACCAGGGTTGGAAGCCGATCGGGTGCAGTCCACCAAAACCAAGAACTAAGGCCTATCGAGCTAAACAAACACATCAACCTACCTCTCACCACAACTCGACCCAAGGGAAAAGTTCAGTATCATTAGTCATCTCACGGACTCCCCTGAGATTCCTCATAAGGGGTCAAGAATTAGCACTAACATAATCCACAAAGAATCACCGGAGGATCCCATCATCAAGGAATAAGCAAATGATTAGATTATGATAAGTCGTGCTCTGCCAAATTTTTTGTTTTGTTCTGGTGACAAAAGTTTCTCGTCCAGGGATCAATAGTCAACAATCAGATTAAAATAACTAATCGTCAAACTCAAATCAATCGAATCAAGTCTTTCCGACCTGAAGACCATTAAAGGTCGATCGACACCCCCGATTCAGCATAGTTGAACGAACATATCTTGTCAAACCAAGACCCACCGATTTTAATTGGCATATTCAGAGGGTAGTCAAGCCGTAGGCTTTGTATGTTTCATCAATTGGAAGATTGATATATGTGATGATATGTACCAGACCAGATATTGCAGGTGCAGTGGGAGTTATCATGGGTTACATATGCAATCAAGTAAGACATTATTGAGAGACAGTAAAGTGGACTCTCAGGTATTTGAGGGAAATAACAACAAGGTACTTTGCTATTTAAGTGCATTGATTTGTCTACAGAGATTTAGAGATTCAGATCTGACGTGAGATGTGGACAGGAGGAGGACAACAGGGCATATCTTCAAATTGAGGAACACAAAGGTGAGTTGTATTTTTAGGTTGTAGAAGATCGTTTCACTTTCAACTACAAAGAGTGAATGTATTGCTATCACTGAGGCTAGCAAGTAGATGATTTGACTACAAAATTTCATGGCAGAATTGGGCAAGGAGCAAGGGATTGAAAAACTCTACAGTGGCAGCATGAGTGCGATCCATCTTGCTAAGAACGTTGCTTTTCATGTCAGGATAAAACACATTCTGCTAAAGAATCATTTCAGTCACTCTCTTCTTGAAGATGGGTAATTTTTCCTGGAGAAGATGCACAGAATCCAGCAGATACGCTGACGAAGGTGGTGATTATTTAATAATTGAAGCTATGCTTAGGTTGGCGTTGAGACCGAGTGTGAGCCATAAAACGGTATGTGACCACATTACGTGACTATGAAGATGATTCAGATGGAGGTGCAAATATAGAGGACTATTGCTCGATGCATTGTCTCAAAGTGGTAGATTGTTAAGATGTGTGGAGACAAAGCAGAAGAGCCGACACATAGGCGTTGGCTATGGGCACCCACTGGGCGCGACTTATAGTGGAGCCGATAAATAGGTGTTATGCGCCCACATCTAGAGAGACTGACACCTATGCATCGGTCTATTGGCACTTAGTTGCCCATTATTGGGCATTGACATAGAGGGCTTGACGCTTAGGCATCAAGTCTGGGCACCTAAGCGCCAAGGTAGTTTTTCCTTCGGGATTTATTTTTTAATCTTGATTTTGAGCATTTTTTTTATATGAGTTTCTTTCTTCTGAATTCCTCAACGAGCATCTCGGTGACGGTGAGGAGTGTCAAAGCGGTGAATTTTAGTAATTCAACGAGATTATTGCATTGGATCGAAGAGGGAGGAATGTGGGGCGAGTCCTGTAAGTTTTTTTAGTATGTGGAGAGAAAACTTGTATAAGTTTTTTTTTTAAACCTTATGAATTTTATAGTGAAAAATTATGGTGGTGTGACTTTATGATTTTTTTTTCCGTTTTTTGGTTTTTCCACGTAAAATTCTTATGTGTATTTCTGGTTGCTTTGATTATACGTTCTATTTAATTCCTTGTTCAAGTTTTCTCGATTTAGTACGATCCTGTTATCCCGCAGTGTGGTTTAGCTTCTAAATGATCCTAAGCCCTGTAAAGTTGGGCATTGTTCGTTAGAGATATGATAGTAGACCCATATATCTAAAATACCAAAAATATTCTGTAACGCCCCTCTTAAAACAGGGGCAAACATAAAATCACCTTTGGTACCCTCTTATGTATAAACAGGTAAATCATTTTATGAGAAATCAATAATTAACAATTCATATTACTATTTATTATAGTGCATCTTTCTGTCTCCCTCCCGTTTTTACTCTATTCTTTTGGTGTGATTTAAACTCAACTCTTGATTTACATATATATATATATATATATATATATATATATAGACACACATATGCACACACAAAAATACATACATACATACTCACATACCACCCGATCTATCCGTGAAAATGTGCATTTTGTTTTTTAAAGTTAAAAATAAATGATAGTATTTGACATTAATGATTTGGGTGGTATGTATATGAATGCCTCATTTATGTAATGAATAAATATACAAAAGTTTAGAAAGGGCATTTGGAAGGCACATCCTAGTTCTAAAATTTAAATATATTAAATATATGTTTAGCATACTCCTACTGTTGACATTCTGCATTAAATATCAAATTCATGCTTTTAAAAAGTAAAAAAATCAATTAATTTAAATACTAAACATTATAATTCATAAAAAATACTATAAAAATAAAATAATTGCAGTAAGGATAAGCTGATAATAAGCATATTGATGGAGCCATATTATTAAAAGATACTTATGAAAGGGTCGTATGATGAGCAGATGGGACTTTCTGATTTGTTTGTTTAAGCTTTCAACTGATTATTAAGAATTAGTAAACGCAGATTTTTAAATAAATATTTTCTCCCCATATTCCCCATTTTTTATGTGGATGACAAGCTTCACGTGACCAGATCAACTACCATTTGTTTGACTGAATTACATACTGCAATTATATATATATA